CTTAATCCAATGATACATCATTGTTGCCAACAATATTCTAGGGAAAGTAATTAAGTTTTGGCCGTTCTACTACTAGCCGTTCAGACGCTATGTGACATCAAATTTGGCGCGGGCACCGTTTAGCCCCCCCCCCCCCCCCGACTAGATAGGGTTAAGAAAGCAAAGTCATAGAATTAACATCTACTTAGACGATTTTTATATAATGGTGGATATATGTAATCCCGTAAAATTGTTTCAAAATATTCAAAATATTTCCTATACGTCAAATAAACGACCACATTTCTGTCCATCATTTTTCTTAAGATTATAATTAGTGACAATAATTCTTGAAAACCAACTTTAGGAAATCGGTGTAATATTTCTCTAGACACGTTCATTAGCGTTGTTTCAGACTGATAGTGCTTTAATATGAAGTCCAGTGGTGCATTGTGTTGTCAGAAAATCTCCGTTTTTAATGTGATTGCCGTGTTTTATCTGTTTCCTGTGGAATACAAGAAAATGAATAGAAGTAAGATATGTTTATTATCAGTGCAGAAATTCCTAAGAAATACATTACACGAGCACCTGGGTGGATTCTAAAAATCGTGATACGTTTTTTTTTTTCAGGGGAAGTTGGATATACTGCTAATGATAGATACCACGTAAGGTTCCCAATGGTTGCTATAGTTGATCGAGTTGGCTAGTGTATAATTATTGTGGGTAGTAATGCTTTAAGTAAACTCATATTTCCGGAGTGAGCCCTTCATATAAAATCCAGAATTAAACTCCATCTAAAATGACATTTTTATGCAACGTGTAAGTCTGACAGACACGGCTTAGAATATTTGCGTAACAACAGCGGTAAATACAAGGTACGCCTGATAGTGGTTGCCTGAATGCCTGCCTACCTGCCTATGTCCACAGCCCCTTGCTTCCCTCTGTTGCCTGAATACTCACCACCAATTATTTTTAGAAGAAAGCTATTATTTCGTTTGTTAGGTATTGTTATTTTACCTACGTTATATTTATCTTTGTTTTAATATATGTATTATGCGTTCTATTAATATTTGTTTTATTTTTTATTTATTTTATGACGATTTACCACATTTGTGGAGGGATTGACGTTACAGGTGACTATCACCTCTTCAAAGACGTCAATCCTGGGACCAGGCTGTAAGGTTTGAACCACTTACACCGGAAAGGTCCCCTACTGTTTACGATAAGTGCGATGGGTACTTTACCGAGCGTGGGGTATGGCTCTCCCGAACACGGGGCCTCTATTTAACGTCCTATCCGAGGGACGTCCCTAGCCAAAGCTAAGTACTCATTTATACCTGAGTGAAGTGAGGAAAGTCGTGTATGGTGCCTTTCCCTAGGGCACAAGATCGTTTGCTTTGGGCAGGATTTGAACCTTCGCCCTTTCGAGTCTGGGCCGAAGACGCTACCGCTACGCCACACGACCCCACTTTTGATGTATTCATTATGATATCTGGTCATCTAGTCAGGTGCCTAGCCCACTGCTGACCTTGCAATGAAACTCATGGTTAGAGGTTTTAAAAACGGGTCTCTTACCGAAACAAATCAGCAGCTGTCTTGTTGTAGACCCACCCAGGTGCAACTGTGGGTATGGACTGCACGGCTTTCTGGTCGGCCTTGAACTTCTTCGTAGCAGCTAACTCCCCTGGTACCCATTTGTAATAAGAATGATTCTTCCTGACATGAAACAAAAAAGACTGATATAACAGCGGATACAAACGTCAAAGAACCATATGACAAACGCTAAAAACAACACACACTAAAAGAAGCCTACGTTTTTTTGGTTACTGCAGGAGAGAAAATGATTAGGAACACAGGCTTTTACTGTGGAACCCGAACCATTCAAACAGGAGTCAAAGGCATGCATTAAAAAAACTGGCAGTGATATGAATCTAAACCAACTGTCTATAGCAATGGATGACAGAGGGTTTATAGGGGGAACTAGTCGTATGAAGATTTTGAGTGAGCTTGATGGAGTTAGTGATTATAAAACCGGTATGGCGGTTATACGAACTTATTATAAAGAGATGTCGAATTGTTTGGAGACAAAAGGTCCCTCAAGGTAAATTAACTATAACGACGTCTGTCTGTATCTTATTATGTTCAGTTGTAGGTTGTGTTCACAGTAAGTTTAGGCTTAGTCAGTCCTTGTTCTAGTTGCATATATACCTTTTTTGCCCATCAGGCGCCTTCTCCACGGGTGTATTTTTCGATCTATTTGTAACACTGCCATTGCCTTTATCTTGTACTTTTTCCTGGAGATCTCTAGAAAACAAAAGGATATTCAGTAGCTGTTTCTTGGTTCTCGTTTGTCGTTTTAACATATCTATATTATTTATTTGAATACGTAATTTTTCGTCAGTATTGTAATGTGTGAGTTACTCATAATCAAAGACTCAAAACACGGAAAGTTCTATTTAAACCTTAGCACGCCACATCAATGAGAAAGTACACTTTGATAACTAAGTCAGAAAGCACATTTAAATAAACGTGATTACCTATATCTTATGCAATGCAAAATTATCCCCGGCAACAGGTGTTATCTGATGTGATATTGATACCATGCTAAAACTATTTGAGTTCAATGGGCGCAAAATAACGTTAACCAAGACGAATGATGTTTTCATTTATTATGAACACAAAAGCCTTATTTAGATAAAGTATATAAATAAAACGTGTTCTCAACATAATAAATGCGCTATCTTATTTAGGAGGGCTATTTTAAAATGTCTTCATAAATTATGCAGATGAGGTCCTGAATTTATAATTAGTGTTGTTTGCCTTTACTTCCAAACACCACAAGTAGGGAAGTCCCGTCAGTTACACCCGTGGACCTACAGCGTTTACAGATTAGTTAAACAAATTATGCCTACATTGGAGTAACCAAAATTTGCCGATGTTCTTTTAGCTCACAATATAAATATGGCAAAATTTTGAACAGTCAGCATTATACAAACTATATCCTGATTCGTATAATTGTTAATTTATTATTTTAAGAAAGACTTAAGTTACATCAAATGTATGAAAGTACTTTTTTATGTAAAACACTGTTATTATAGAATTTCCTCCATATTTAAGCAAATTTGGTCTCCTTTTGAATAATTTGCATTTAATTTACTCATGTTTCTATAAGCTACCTACACATAAAATGTAGAAAATACTTTGTTCCTTTTTGGACTAATCCGCTAAAAACGATTTCGTCAGAAACTACCCTTAAGTTCCAGAACACGTTGCTAGAGGGACAAAACCCACACCAATTATTCGTAACAGAAATAGTTACCTTTCACCAAGATTCCAAGACCATAGCATGTTTAAGATTACAAAAACCGGAAGTTCTTCTGCAGTTGACATTGTTCTTTAACCTTCTAAGACCTACCAACATACTAAATATTATAACTCTATAGCCAAGCTATGAATGTGTTATTTACCTACAATTAACCTAGTAGTCTAGTAACCCATATTACACTACACCTTATCCCAAATCTATCGGAAATATACGTATCAAGAGCACCAACATTTTACTATGTGTCGATATACAAGATGAAAAAAATCACAATCGTATAAATTACATACGTCGATGAAGGTTAGACATCCGGGTAATACGATACGCCAAAAAACAGTCTGGTTTGGCTTGGTCTGAAGTGACAATATTATCTGCACGATGGAAGAGAGTTTTGATCACTGCTAATTTGTGTTCCAAAGGATGGTGGGAATCAAAGGCCAGGTACTAATCAGTGTGGGTTGGTTTCCTGTACAGACCAAGCCAAAACGGACGAACAAAAACACCTCCGAGGTGCCCTGGCTAAATGTGGCTACCAAAACTGGACTTTCAACAAAGCGCTCAAACCTTCAGATCAGTCTAAGAAAACCCAGAAGTGCAAACCATTGACCAACAAAAACAAGGCTAACATCACTATTCCGTATGTCCAAGGAGTATCTGAGAAACTCCGACGGATCTTCCAAAACTTCAACATAGCCACTAACTTCAAACCTCACTCAACCCTCAGACAAAGACTGGTACACCCTAAGGACCGACCTCACAAAGGTACCAAGGCGAATGTTATTTACAGACTCAAATGTGAGGAGCCCAACTGTAACAACACCTACATCGGAGAGACAAGCCGACCGCTCAAAGTAAGATACAAAGAGCATTGCCGACCTAGTGCCAACGGCTACTCCTCAGCTATTTTCCACCACCTACAACACAACCAGGGTCACTCTTTCAAACTCGAGTCCACGGATATCTTAGACCGCGAAACACGCTGGTGGGAACGGGGAGTTAAAGAGGCAATATATGAAAGAATGTACAACCCCACCCTCAACAGGGAA